ATTACGTTATTTCTTAAACATGAAATATTTACCATGGAAATAATGTTTGAGATGATCAGAGGATGGTACAAGAATTTTTCTATTGAATTGCTTGAATCACTTTTGCGCAGACACGTATCGAGGAAATTGGGGAGCAGGAGGCGATGGAGAGGAATCGCATGATGGCAAAACTTCATCTGATGGAGTACGACGATACGCTGAAGCACCGCGTTAAAAACGACCTCGAGAGCGAGGAATTCCCGGCGGACTACATGGTGGATGTTCCTGACAAGCTTCCGAAACAAACTGTTGCCAAGAAGCTGTCCCAAGCCGAGGCGAGGTTGGAACGCTTTAAAAACGCCAACGCGAAACGTGCTAACAGCGTTGCGAAGGCCACCCTCACGAAGAAACGATCCGAGCCAATACATCCATCGAAGTCTGCTTCCAGGTATGTAAAAATCATTCGATAGACGAAACAGGAAATTATGAATTCGTGTATGCCGAACGCTTTCTTTATTTGAATTAAATAAATGTCTCATGGAACTGTCAGTAAATTATGTGAAGTAACACATGAAAACAGTATATTAAAATATTTTCAACCAATTTTGTCACTGCGTTCAACTCATCAACAAGAGAACTATCAGACTATTAAAACGTACAGTAAAGAAAGAAGAATCGTACTCTATATTTCGTTCCTCCTGCTTGAAATATTTAAAAGACTCTCTAATGGAGATAAATATAGAAATTAAGGAGTATCATAACGCGCAAGTAGATCATGTTGTCTGATAATCGAATCGGATCTTGACGAGTGCAGATTCCCCGGCCGCTAATTGGCAATCAGTGCTAACAATCCGTCGCTGCTTTCCAATCCCAGACTCCCCCTCTCTCTTCGCCGATTAATTTATCGTTGCATAATTGCGATCGCTGACTAGGCTCGACTCGTTTAAACCACGCAACCGTAGTAGCTTAACACAATACATACAAACCCACGCTGGAAGCGACCACCCATGAAACAGCAACTAAACGACGCGTTTCCGGCAAAGTAGAGGATCGTCTCCCGGTCCGTCGCAAGAAGGAAGGACGCCCGCTCTCTAATTTGTGTGTCCGCTTAACATTAGTGCTATCGGAGAAAGGATAATCGGCCGGCGGACATTAAATGCTCCATCATCAGCATAACAGCTATTCGCCAAGCATGAACTCATTAGAAAGAAGCGACGTGGACGGAGAGAGCAAAAATCCTGTTCGACATTAATCGCACAATACTTGTTAGTGACACGTTACTTCCGGATGAAATATAAATATGCAGGCTTTCCCAGATAATTGATTCTAACGCAACGTCGATCGCTATTATTATTAGAGGAACAGTGGAGCTTTGTCCCGCTGCGGGGGAGGATCACGCAGAATCATGCCTCCCCAATCTATTTCCCCTTGCTATCTATTTGTATTAGCTAACAGGATTAACAAGCAATAACGAACGGACGACGGACGAAATAAGGGAGATAGAGTAATCGCGTTATGAAACAGAAATTGTCATCTCGATTGTGGTTCCATAGCGAATACCGTGCGATCAAGACTAGGACGCAGCTATTAGACAGAGCATCCAGCAGCAGGAAAGAGAATCCTGGGCATGCAAAATCGAGGACTTCTAAGAGTATAGAAGAGATATTATCATCGGATTCTGAGAAGAACGCGAAACAAACCAGTCCTCGGTTCTTTTGTCGAGAGTCCGAGAAATCCGCCACGAGTTACGCGATTGATGCGAAAACTGTTGCGGTATTATCATCCGATACAACAAAGGGTAGAGTACGGAGGAGCGAGAGTCCCTTTTCTAAAGAATCAGAAAAATCTGCGACTACGTACACCGTCGATTCGAAGAACATTAAGAAATCATCGCCAGGATTGTTGAATCGTGAAAAATCGAGAAGCCAAAGTCCCAAATTCTTTTGCAAAGAATCAGAAAAATCTGCTACCACATATGCAATCGACTCAAAAACTGCGAAAAGATTTTCTCCCGAATTATCTACCGATAGAATACGCAGAAGCGAGAGTCCCAAATTTTTTTGCAAAGAATCAGAGAAATCTGCTACCACATATGCTATCGATTCAAAAACTGCGAAAAGATTTTCTCCCGAATTATCTACCGATAGAATACGCCGAAGCGATAGTCCCAAATTTTTTTGCAAAGAATCAGAGAAATCTGCTACCACATATGCTATCGATTCAAAAACTGCAAAAAGATTTTCTCCCGAATTATCTACCGATAGAATACGCAGAAGCGAGAGTCCTAAATTCTTTTGCAAAGAATCAGAGAAGTCGGCCACTTCTTACGCAATTGATTCGAAGACTGCAAGGAAATTTTCACCTGAGCTTTCGAAGGACGTTAAAAAACGAAGCGACAGTCCTAAATTTTTCCGTAGGGAATCTGAGAAATCTGCTACCACTTACACTATAGATTCAAGAAGTCGTTCAACGTCGCCAGATTATATGAGAGCCACAGAGAGTTCCCTTTTAAAATTAGAAACTAAAAATAAAAAGAATATACTTAACAATGTGATAAAAGAATCGGTGGGTATCGACACAGTGGATCCACATATAAAATCTTCTTCGACTTCAGAAAGTCCGAAGTATGATAGAATAAATAAAACGCAAAGTCAAAAGAAACCCCTTAATGCTTTCGAACGTCTAAAAAGAGAACGTAGCTCGAGTCCTCAGTTCTTCTGTCGCGAAGGTAGAAGGTCAGCAACGACAATGAGCATCGATAGCAAAAATATAAGATCCAAATCAGATTCTAGCGATACACGAATAAAGAAGCATGATGAACGTGAAGTTGTTAAATCAAAATCGCCGGATGTCAAATCCTTAAGAAAATCCAACATTAGTCCAGAATTTTTCACATCAGATTCGGAAAGATCCGCCACGATCATAATCGTGAAACCCGAGACGATTACGAAACAGAAAACGGAGACAGAATTAGGAAACGCTGAACTGAGAACTCCCAGTCCTGCCAAAACTGTTATAACTCCAATGACGGAACGAAGGAGAGAAACGTCCGAGGTAAGCGACAACGAGAGCTCGAAACGTTTGATACGTAGCTCGGTGTCGCGATTTTTTTCCGAGAAGTATGAGAAAGCGCTGAGAGACGCGAACGTCGATGACAGGAGCGACGGGAACGTTCGTTTGTCACGCGACTCGTCTCCGTTGTCGTTGAGAGACTTGCGAACACCCAGCCCATCGACATCCTATCGCGGCGGAGTCAAGACGCTTGACGGGTCTACTGACAGAAGCAGCAGTCGCGCCTCGTCACCGAAATCGCGGAAAAATGCAGGCAGCAGGGGAGAAACACCGGAATTTTACTGTTACGAGACGAGAAAATCAGCCACGACAGTCAGCTTGAAACCTAAAAACGTGACGAAAGGACGTTCCAAGAGTTTGGGACTGATTGAACGGAAAGTTACCGCGGTACCTTCTGCAAAACGCAGAAGCCCGACCAATCAACTGAAGAATGGATCGTCGAGGAGCCAGAGGGGCACCGAAGCGTCGGATCGCAGAGGATCCAGCAACGTCCTACGGTCGATCAAACTGATCCGCGACGCTATGAAGCGCCAGACCGACAGAAATCAGGCCGATTATGCTTGGAAGAAGCGCGCGAGGGAGTCTCGGAGTTCTTCGGCCGCGAGCGGAATATCAAGCGACTCGAAGCTGCGATTGAAATCGTGCGAGGCGAGGAAGGAAATCGGGACGGGTGGAAAAGTTGACGGGGCCTCGCCTCGCGAACTTCGGGTCGCCGAATCGAATCCCGAAAGTTCCGCAGAAGTGGACACGGAGAGTCTGGAAATCACGATACCCGATCAGTACATAAAACAGGAGCAGCTTCGAGGCACTTACTCGAAGTCGGTCGATAAGACAGTGGATGGTGGAAAATCGAGTGTAGGGAAACTCTTCACGTATTCCGTACGGAAGCCGGTTAAAAAAAGGAGGTCTCTGTTCGATTCGAAAGTATTAGAGCCGTCGGGAATAAAAGATAGCCAAGGGGCGTGCGATCAGAGGAAGACCGATGTGAAACGCGAACCGTGGAGCAGTCCTTCTCCGACTAATCTCGTCGCTCGTGGTTTCAAACGTCAAACGGAGAAGAATACGACGAGTAGAACGAAAGAGAAAAAATTCTCAAGATTTAGAGAGCAAACATCAACACAATTGAAACAGAAAGATATTCGGAAAACGTTTGGTAATCTGAAGCAGGTAATACGCGATGCGTGGAGCAGCAGCCCGTCACCGACGAACGAGTCGATCATTCAGGAATCAAAACGTCGGGCAGGAAATATAATAAACCGGAGAAATGAAAGTGAAATGATTAAATCTTGTGAGCGAACACAGAGTCCGATCCAACGAAAAGCGAGAGGGACGATTATAGATGAACCGAAGGTGCAGCGAACGTCTGGACAGGTTCAAATCTTGAAATCGATGGAGCTCGTTCAACGAGCTATGGGAAAGTCAAGCGTCGAGAAAAGGAAATCTTCGGAAAGGGCATATGAAACAATTTCTGATGGTATTGTTAAAGAAAAGCGTGCCGAAGTCAAGAGACGGGGCTCCAGTTCGTCGACGATCGTTTCGATAAAGGGTGGTGCGTCGTTCTGTAAGGATTACGGGAGAACAGACTCGGTAGAATCGGCGTTAAGACGATTCGATTCTATCGGAACAGAAGGTGACTCGGAATCGATGCGAAGCACCCTGGAACGAAACAAGAAATCGATGACTGAGAAAAAACAGACGAAACCGAAGCCGATTTCCTTGAAAGCACTCGATCGACCGAGCAGGAACCTCTCCGTTAGTCCTGAGAGCAAGCCGTCCAGCACGTCCTCTTCTAGAAGAACTTCAGTTTCACCCGAGAACAGAGCGCGGGAGAAAATGTTCGGGCAGAAAAAATTCGCAGCGGCGAGGGACTCTTTGGAGATCGCTAGAATCGCGATTAGGTCCAAGTCGCCTGCGTGCAAGCGGAAGCTCTTCCAGGGCGACGATTCTGAGGCTGAAAGCTCGAAATACAGTTTCGGGCGTCTCTCGCCGAGGTCCAATAAAAGTGTAACACCGGAATCGTTGAGAAGCGCGAGCCCTTCCAAATCAATTATTGGCGATCATCGATCATCAACAATAGACACGGGAAAAATCGATGAAACAGCAGTAAGCGACGATCACTCGTTGTCAGTAAAACCGCTGAGATCAATAGAAGACATTCGTAAATCTATCAATGGCGAAAGTTGTAATCGCGACGCGAAGGGAACGAGAAAGTCGGCAATCGCAAGCAACGCGTCGAGACGAATAAATATCGATGATCGCGCTGGACGTAAGAAAGATATATCTTCGCGGTCGGGGAAGATCGTCGTGAAGAACGCGGACCCTTCGTCTGTAAAATGTGCGATGCGTTTCTCTAGGGTCGTGAAAAGTCCGAGTCCAGAGGCGACCAAAGAAACGAGCACCCGTGCGAGGAGAAACGTTCCGGCGTCGCCGTCGAAAAGCCCGGATACGGTGGCCAGGGTAAGGATTGCATGTATAAAACGTCTCTTCTAAAGAATAACTCCTTCGATGTCTAATATAAAAAAGAAAAACAATTCTTGCTATAAAAATATTTAACTTTATTGCACGCACTGATGACGAAAGAATGATATAACACCATTTGTTTATAAAAAATGATCTATAGAATTTGAAAAGATATAATGAAACAATGAACGTGTTATTAAATTAATATTTTATCCTCGCACGAGTTAATTAAATATATAATATGCATACGCTACATAAATACACACATACGTACACTGGGAATACACTTTGGTGGCTCTGATTGAGATGCAAAGAAATGTGTTCGGAGGGAGGTTTGAAAGGGAACGGGTTTCTATTACACGTAGCGTCCATCAACCGAGTTGAAAGCTCAAGACACGAAACCGACGAAACGACCAACGCCTATGAAAGGCACGGAGCCAATTGGAAACAGGAAAACGACGACGACAACGACGAGTACGAGAAAATCGACGGATGTCGTCGATGGCACTATTCTCGAGAATGGTCTGCGTTTAGGAGACCAAACTGCCGAAACGAAATACGATAACGGCTCGTCCGCGACGAGGAAAGGCAACGCTTTTGTCATCGACTTCGACGAGCAGCCGCCGAAGGATAACGATACTCCGCCACAGCGGAAACCGCTCTTGCGAAAGCACTCCGAGGTGAGTACCCAATAATCAGAATAACATTTTTAACGAACTAAACCATTTATCATTTTCAAGTTCTCATTTTACATTAGTCTTACGTTTGATCGAATTAATTTTCTAATCAATAGTTT